AACCCATCTGTTCTCTGATTGGATTGTTACATTTGTGATTGACATGACATTGACCAATCAGATGAAGGGTAGAAAAATGGGGTCAAAAATCCGTACTTGTAACTTGCAGGGGTTTTTTTTCTAAGTCCACACACAAATCTTTTTTACACATACAAATCTTTTTTACGCACACACAAATCTTTTTTACACATACAAATCTTTTTTACGCACACACAAATTCTTTTTACATATACAAATCTTTTTTACACATACAAATCTTTTTTACAAGTACAAAATATTTATGACCACATTTTGAGCCCATACACACACTCCTGTGTTCGTATGTGAAGCTCAGCTGTTGTTTGGCCTGTAGCTTACTATGATTGGTTCTCTCCAGTTTCCAGCTGACTGCAGAGCCTTTCTGCCAGTGTTGCCAAGTTAGCGACTTTGTCGCTATATTTAGCGGGTTTTCAGACCCCCCTTAGTGACTTTTTTTCTAAAAAGCGACTAGCGACAAATCTGGCGACTTTTTCTGGTGTTACTGGAGACTTATTTATGACGACTTTTTGACGTGAAAGCGCGTATCGCTCTTACTCTCAACAAGCAGCGGTTGCTGCCGTTGGCACCTTGCCCGTACCAAAGCGCTCACAGGCGGAGGATAGTCTTCATGCAGCTGCTATCAGTGTAGGAGATGTTCACCCCTATGCGTCCAAACTGCAAATGAATCGCACATGAGCGAAGTCGCTGCTCCCGCACTGACTGTAACGCAATCAGTTCTTCTTTCACTGTTATGCTGTTTTGTATCGGATCTCAAGGTTTAAAACTACTCATAAACACACACACAAAGTAACTCCAAAAGAGCGCCTATTTTGGGTTACTTTTGCCGGTCCAAGCCCGGATAAAGGAGCAGGGTTGGAATTGTGACATTAAAAAAAACAATAATTGCTACAAGAAATTTAATTTGTAGTTCTAAATAAATTCTAACTGCATTTAGGACGTTTTTTACTCACTTTATGTCTCTTCCACAATGTTATTTCTCTCTCCAACAGCGTAGGTTACCATACATTAGCATGACCAATTATGCAAATTGCGCGATGATGTCATTTAGCGACTTCTAGCAACTTTTAGGACAGCCAATAGTGATTTTCCTTACTGAGGAGTTGGCAACACTGCTTTCTGCTCTTATTGAAGAAAATATAAAACTATTCCAAGGAACCATCAACGACTCATCCAGGAGGTCAAAGAAGACTCCAGAACTACATCTGTAGACCTGTAGACATCACTTGGCTCAGTTAATTCAATTTCATACAGCGCTAAGTCAGAACAACAGTTGCCTCAAGGGGCTTTATATAGTAAGATAGACCCTACAATAGGGTTAAGGTCAAAAGTCATGATTCAACAATAAGAAAGAGACTGGGCAAAAATGAATAGTTCAAGGAGGAAAGGTTCGTGTCACATCTGCCAAGAAACATAGATTTTCCTGGGGTTTCTCAGAAATATTCTATGGACTGACGAGACAAAAGCGGAACTTTCTGGAAAGTTTGAGTCCCGTTACATTTGGCATCAAAATAATGACATTTCAGAAAGTGAACATCGCAGCAGCAGTCAGACACAGTGGTGGTAGTGTGGATGGTCTGGGCTGCTCTGTTATAACTGATGAAACCATGAATTCTGCTCTCTACCAGAAAACCCTGAAGGAGAATGTCCACACATCTGATTATGTCCTGAAGCTCAAGAGCACTCGGGCAGCAGCACAGTGATACAAAACACAGCAGCTATTCACCTCTGAATGACATATAAAAATAAAATGAAGGTTTTGGCACGACCTAATTAAAATCAGTACTTCAGATTCAGACTCATTCAGATTGAGATGCTTTGGCCTCCCATGTAGGTGAAAAATTCAAAAGACACTTTTGGACTTCAGAGCAGCCAATGCAGAGCAAGCTGTTAAACTTTAGATGGCAATCCTGATGAATGAAACCTTAGCTTGATGCGTCTAACCTCTCCTGTTAAATGAATCCACTCGTCCAAACAAACAGTTCCATGAGATAATTTGGTAAACTTCACCATAACTCTTTACTTTGTCACCAAGATTTTCAAAGCGTCGTGGAAGTTTTACGTTTCACATTGAACTCTTTAATATCGATCAGAGGGATGTGGGAAAAGTAAATCCATGCTGAATCAGGATCCCTGTGCACACTGACTTTCAGTTCGTTCTCCTTGGCTTCTGTTTCCAGAGTACAGAACATCAAGGATTAGGAACAGATTTGTTCACTCAGATGAACAAGTCATAGCTGTGTCACTTCTGAGTTACATGATGCTCCAAATTAAAAATATTATTTTGCTTTTATTATTTTGTACTAACCATATCTTTTGTCTGTTGTGTGGATATTAAGAGTCTGCATGTGAGGATGGATGACAAAAGACTGTAGATTAATAAAAAACAAAACAAAAAAAAAATCTTTGTGTTTGTCCAGCTGTTCTTCCTGTTAACACTCCATCATCTCAAATCTCCAGGGACAGGTTTCGTCTTTTGGACCAAGGAAACTTTGAGCCTGCCAGATCAGATGTCTCCAAAAGGAAACCTGTGAATGTTGCCGCATTTCTGGTACGCACTCTTAAGATACATCACAGCATTGTAAGATGAAGAAAGATCTACCCTTAGGCCCCCTCCTCTATTCGGAGATGGTTGTTTCCTTTTCATGTAAAGGGCCTCCTTGACTCCACGCTCAAACCAGCGATCTACTCAGATCGACACGCCACAACTTGAATAAGATTGGCTGGTTTTGTATTGCAATCCAGTACCTCCTAATGTGCATGATCGTCACAGCAATGCTACTGTGTGCCCCGTGATGTAATTAGTATGTGACACAAATGCTACAACAAAGGTGGACGTTGAGGCAAGAATATATCTGATGCTTGGTCTGTGACTTTCGTCAGACTAGGGGAACAGGGCCTTGTTTTTGCAGCCATTTCCCTCATTCACGGATTTCAGAAATTGGCAGTTTTAATTTTCTTGAGATGCTCTTATGACCCGTTGAGTGACACCACTGCCCAGCCAATCAGTCTCACGATGTCACATTTTAGTATCGTTCAGATTGGTTTGAACGCCGGCAGAGGAGCTCCTTTTTTACTAATGGAAAAGGGGCTCAAGTGACAGCCTAGGCCAAAAGCGGGAGGTAGTGAGCCGGTTGAGAATGATCATTAAGCATTTTGGGGTTTTAATTTTACTAGTTTTTGAGATATTAATGTTCAATCATGGCCTAAGATTTCAATTTGTGAAACAATGTCTGAAAGTGGGTCGGCAAACAAATATCTTCAAGAAAAAAAAACAATATGTAGAGTACACCCCTCACATTTTTGTAAATATTTTATTACATCTTTTAGTAGGACAACATTGAAGACATGACTCTTTGATACAATGTAAGGTAGTCAGTCTACAGCTTGTTTAACAGTGTAAATTTGCTGTTATCTCAAAATAACTCAACATACGGCCATTATTGCCTAAACCGCTGGCAACAAAAGTGAGTACACCCCTAAGTAAAAATGTCTAAACTGAGCCCAATTGGCCATTTTCCCTCCCTGGTGTCATGTGACTCGTTAGTGTTACAAGGTCTCAGGTGCAAATGGGGAAACAGATGTGTTTGAATTTGGTGTTATTGCTCTCACACCCTCTCATGCTGGTCACTGAAAGTTTAACATGGCAAAGAATTCTCTGAGGGTTTGAAAATAAGAATTGTTGCTCTACATAAAGATGGCCTAGGATATAAAAATAATGCCAACACCCTGAAACTGAGCTGCAGCACAGCGGTCAAAACCATACAGCGGTTTAACAGGACAGGTTCCACTCAGAACAAACCTTGCCATGGTCAACCAAAGAAGTTGAGTGCACGTGCTCAGCGTCATATCCAGAGGTTGTCTTTTGAAAATAGATGTATAAATGCTGCCAGCATTGCTGCAGTGGCTGAAGGTGTGGAGGTTGAGCCTGTCAGTGCTCAGACCATACGCAGCACACTGCATCAAATGGCTGTTGTCCTAGAAGGAAGCCTCTTCTAAAGATAATGCACAAGAAAGCCCGCAAACAGTTTGCTGAAGACAAGCAGACTAAGTACATGGATTACCTGTGGTCTGATGAGACCAAGGCAAACTTATTTGGCTCAGTTGGTGTCAGGGGTTTGTGGAGGCAACCAGGTGAAGAGTACAAAGGTAAGTGTTTCTTGCCTACAGTCAAGCATGGTGTTTGGGATGACATTGTTTGGGGCTGCATGAGTGCTGCTGGCACTGGGGGGCTACAGTTAATTGAGGGAACCCTGAATGCCAACATGTACTGTGCCATACTTAAGTAAAGTAGAGCATGATCCCCCTCCCTTCAGAAACTGGGCCACTGGACAGTATTCCAACATGATAACAACCCCAACATTTTCACTTAAGGGTGTACTCACATTTGTTGCCAGCGGTTTAGATGTTAATGGCTGTATGAGTTATTTTAAGGGGACAGCAAATTTACACTGTTATACAAGCTGTACACCAACTGCTTCACATTGTATCAAAGTGTCATATCTTCTCTTAGAGTGTTAACTTGTTGACTCTTGGTGGCGCTGTCACTTGGTGTTCGCTTGCTCTGTGGTAGAGTATCACTTCCTCTTCCTGCTCAAACACAGTGGTGTTTCTGAGTAGCTTATCTGCTTAGCAATTTAATTTAAAACTTTTAAATACATTCTGTTTTCATAGTATAATCTTCACGTGCTTCATCTGAAGCACACTTTCTCTGTACTCACTACCTAATTTATAGCCAAAGTATTCACTCACTGTCTCTGTACTGT